AAAAAAAAAAAATACACAATCACAAGCCCTCCCTCTACAGCAACTCCTAACCAGACTAGCAGCCACCAATCAACCCAAAGGAAACACACCGCTTGAGATAAACGACCCCTCCACTGCAACTAAGCCTAGCTGAATCGCAACTCAAACCACGAGTCCCACCTAAAGCCAATTCTCCCCCACACCAGAAATACCAAGAAACTCCCAACACAGCCCACCAAGCCCCCTAACACCATTAGCGGGCTCAGAAGAACCGAGAACCCCGAATCTCAAACACAGAGAACCAGAGGAAAGGAGTTGTCTCAATACCGCAGCCTCAGCCCCACCATCTCGAAAGCCAAAAGAACCTGAGCCACTCACGAGCCCAACCCTCGAACCACCGAACACCGCCAGACGCAGGCAAAAGAAAACCGAGATAGGAGCGGCTAGAAGGAAACTCACCCTCAATCGAGACCAGAAACCGCCCAATAGTCGACCAAAGCTCACCGCCTTCACACACCAATCCGCCGGCGAAAAAGAACTAAGCAGTCCGACGGCTCTTGCACCCCACAGCGATCGGAAAGCACGCCGTCGAAGTCGAATTCAGGGAGAGGGAGGGGACCTCCTGATAAACCCAAGACATCCAACCTGAGAAGATGGACCGTCGGGGGCCGCACCCAACCCTGACCCAAAGCACCTTGACTCAAGGGCTCTCCTCAGCACCGAAGTGGTCGGATCCCCCTAACCCAATTTCCGGAGGAAGCGAAATTAGGCTTAGCACCACAAGGACAACCGACGCCAGAGGCAAGCTTGGTCGCGGCATCAAGGAGAGTCGGGCGGGGAAGGGGGGACTACCGGAGAGGTAGGAAGCCGAGAGAGATGCGTCGATTTAAGAGAAAAATAGTCTATTGATTCAATGTGAGGTTTTTTAGTTTTTCCAACATATTGGTGCTAAAAAATTAAATTGTAATGTGACATACAAGTTGGTTGTAATATTTTAAAATCAACAATTTTTTGTAAAAAGAAATTGAACATATAAGATCAAATTATATGTGAATAATTATTAGATGAAATAACCTAAATTATATAAACATGTACCTTATTATATTTTTAATATAATTAATATGATAATTATCTTCACATACTTTTATGAAATAAAGTCCATATTTATAATGTTTTATTGAAATCTAAAATTTTATCTGTGTAATTAATGTACATTTTAAATACATATAATTAAAACAATATTTTGATTTTTATTTCTGTATACAAATTTTATATTATAACTAATATTATTAAATAAATTTTTATTTTAATTTTAATTTTTAAATAGAAAATAAATTATGTGTATGTGCACAAGATGAAATTATTAGTTGAGATAAAAATTAGTAAGTTGTTCACTAAAGGGGAAATTCCATTACAAGTCTCAACGTTTTTGAATTATAACAATTTAAGGCCTGAATTTTGTATTTTTTTTCAATAGATAGTTTATATTTTAGGTTATTTTTAATTTAAATTTCACTTTTTAATTTATAAATGTAAGGCCCAAAATTTCACTTTTTAAATTTCACTTTTTAACATTACTTTTTGACTTAAATATGTGAATCAATTAACTATATTTTATGATATAATTGTGACCAAAATATTATTTTTTTAATGCATATGTTACATAATTGTAATAAAAATATATTTAGAAAAATTGTCTAAATAAGAAAATGAATCTATATAAATTACCTTTACGCAAAAGTATAAAAAAATTTATTTACAAAAATTGATAATTGAATTTAAAAAATATACAAATGAATTATATTTTTATTAATAATCATATTTAATAAAAATAAAAAATAATATTTAAATACAATTTTCAATTTCTTTTTTTTAATACTTCACTTTTTAATTTTCTATATCTGTTACATATTTAGTTTGTTTCTTAATTTTATTACATATTTATATTATTACTCATAATAATATTTCAATTATATATTTATAAATTTTATTAATATTTTTTTTGAAAATAAAGTTTATTGACCTTTTTTCATAAATATTGATATAGCTAGGCAGAGTACGTCGCATGATCTGGCGATAGCTCAGCACGGCATCAGGTGGTAGATCGTGTTACAAAATGTATGGCGGCGTTGGGTTGAGATTTGAGACTGAAACTAGTAAAAGCTCGGCCCGGTGGAAATATATAATGCGATAGCTCGACCCTGAGAATACTGGAATGGAATTGAGATCGGTGCCCTCTTTAAGGGCGATCGAGGTTGTCCCGGTAAAAGAGCTTGTGGAGCTCGGCAATAGCCTTTGACTCAATTACCTTTTAAGGGGAATCTGGGGGGATCTACAAGAACCTTTAGCTCAACTAGTGGGATCGTACCGAAAACAGACACCTGTAGACGAAGGAAGCTGAAACCCTTATATAAAAGAAGTGTTTGTCCTATTTTTGTTGTTATTTTTATTGGTATTTTGCTTTTATTTTCTCCCATTTTAGGTCGTTTTTTAGGTTTTCCTGGTCCTCCTAGTCGTTTCTCATGTTTTTATTGTTATTTTGGTGTGTTTGGTATTTTCTTTGTTTTACTTCATATTTTTCTTGTTCTTCGTGTTTTTCCGGTTGTGGTGGTTTCGTTTGACTGACTGTTGAGCATTCAGACGAGGGAAGCAGTTTGTAGTTTCGGTTTCAGAGGGATTCGTACCGATTCGTGCAACCCAAACACGCGGGAATCGAGTTCCCAGCTCAGGAATAACCCAAGAGACGCTAGCCGAGAGCACACGGGTCAACCGGAGGTCATTAGCCACTCCGAAACATCAAGGTATTGATGTTGTCAGACCTAGCGCCGCTAGGGACCTTAGTGCCGCTAAGGGTTGAAGCCTCGCGGCGCTAACATGCTTAGCGGGAGCTTAACGAGGCCAAAGCCTTCAAGACTTATCTACCCTACCGCTGCTAGGGTCTGTTTTGTAACAGTCGCGTTTTTCACAGATTTTTGAATAAGGAGCATAAGGGGTCGAGCTTGGTTCGATTTTGGAGACTCAAAACTCCAATTTTATCGTTCGGATTTGGATTACCCTCGGGATTTGACATTTGGATTTCACATTAATCGTAAACTCTTTTTCTCGTTTTGTTTATGATTATGATGGCTTGGTTTGATGTGAATTTTTGTGTTAAAATTGTGATGAGTGGCTAAATTCGTTCGCTAGGGATATGGAATAATTGTTTCGGTTCATTTTTTATTACATGCCCGCTAATTGTTCAATCTATGCGTGTTGTGTAAATTCTAGGGTTAGTTGATTGATTACCTTTCTAACTTTATTAATCGACTTTTAGAACCGAAAAGGGAGAAGTCGGTCGATTTAGGCTCGTTTAGAATAGGCTTGTTCGTAATTGTATTGCCTATGTTATTTGATTTGATAGTTAATTGTTCATGTTTATTCTCTTGTTACGAAGAGTTATTGAGAATAAACCTCTAGACAAGTAAGCATTTCAAGTCTTTAAACCGAGCAATTGATTGCCTGGTAATTGTATTAGAAATCGAATGATTATCCCCGACTCCCTGGCTTTTTATCATTAACTGAATTTGTTTGGAATTAGAAATTCGTTTTGGATTGTTCGAAAATCACTAGTATTTAATTGAAACCAAAACCAATTGAATTAGAGTATTTAGGATTTATTCTCTTTTGTAGTTAAATATTCGTACAGATAATCCGGCTAACCTTCACTGAGATACGACCCGGAGTTTGAATTTTTCAATTTGACTCCAGTAAAAATAACTACAAGAAGTATATACCATCAAGGAGACAGGGAATATGGGAGATTCAAGTTGAGTTGGATGTAGGAGATTTTTTTTCTATGCTAGGAGTTATGCTCCTGAAGTAACCCTAGCTATACAAATGCAATCTAGATAAAGATATCCAGGTTTTTTATTTTAACACCACACACACGCAAATAACATTACGATAATACAATTGTAGGTTTTTTATTTTAACACCACACACACACAGATATCCAGGTTTTTTATTTTAACACCACACACACGCAAATAACATTACGATAATACAATTGTAAGTTTTTTATTTTAACACCACACACACACGCAAATAACATTACGATAATACAATTGTTGAACGCCAACTAATTTCAACGCCAGAGTGTTTTCCACCGGTACGGCCTGAGATTCGGCGTTCTACAAATCATCGAAGACGCGAAAGCGAATTCAAATTAATAGATTGCGATTCAACTGAACTAAAGGAAAGTTTGGGCAACAAAATATAACTTACATGGATTTAATTATCTTATTTAATTTAATTATTAAATATAGTAAACATTTTTTTCATCATAAATATATAAGATATATATTATGAAAATTAATATTATTACTCATATATTTATGTCAAAATGTAGAACTAGTTGAATAAAAAAGTGAGGCTGAAAATAATTTAATATAAACCCTATTAAAAATTAATAAAATTTAGGTTATCATGGAATTAAATTTTTCAATAACTCAACCTTGAGTGTTTTTAGAAATTGGTTTGTGACATAAATTTCCCTCTGCAATAGTTTCTAATAAGATATTGCTCCTTCTGGTTTTCATCAAGACGTCGTTTAGTCCTATAAAATAGAACAATACTTTAATGGCTGTCAATCNACAAAAAAAAAAAAAAACACACACACACACAATAAAATGTTGGATAACAGACAAAACCATGCCCAAATTCTTAGAAAACCAACCAACATGGGTTAATCTAATCCTCACTGCTGGGCACACTGGACCCGCTGGGCCCCACCACCTCCCATTTCATCATCATCCTCGTCATAGGCCTCCTGCCGCTGGGCCTGCTTCCGCCTCATCTCCTCCTCAATGTTGTTAACATCGTGCAGTGTCGTCTCCTCACACTCATCCAGCTCCATCTCCGTCACCTTCGACTGGGGCCTTGCTGGCAGAATCTTGGCCAAAGCTTCCACTTGCTCGGGGCTAAGAGAGTCGGGGAATTCGACATTGAAGTGTATGTAGAGCTTGCCCTTCATGAATGGCCTCTGGTACATGGGCATGCCTTCGTCGTTAATAGCTTTGAATGAATCTGTCACATTTCAAAAACATTAAGTAACCAATTATTCATTATAACCATACGATTAAATAAAAAACTCTCAGTTTAATTTCTCAGAAGTACAAACCTGGCTTCACGACTTCTCCTGGCTGAGATTTGATGAGAAGCTGCCTGCTATCCAATTGGGACAGAACAAAATGGAAGCCACACAAGGCCTCAGTTAAGGTCAGGGAATGCTCGATAAAGAGGTCATCACCCTTTCTCTTAAATCTAGGATGCTCCTTTTGCTGAAGAACAAACACGATGTCCCCAGTGACTGTATCAGGCTGTAACAGAACAACAATGAGCCAAAAAAAACACATTCACTGTCACAAACTGAACAAAAATAAAGGTGTATCAAATACTAACAATGAGAGAGAGAGAGAGACATTCATACCGCCTCATCAGCTTCCCCAGGGAATGTTATCTTTTGCCCGTTCTGCATGCCTTTCTCAACATGGACTTCCAATACTTTCTTCTCCTGAACGACCTTTTCACCCTTGCATTGAGGGCATCTGTCCTTATCATTTATGGTCTCACCAGTTCCTTTACACTCGTTACAAGCATGCTGCATCTGCTGAATCATGCCGGGCCCAAGCTGCCTGATTGAGACCTTCATGCCTGTCCCCTGGCAACCTGAGCACTTCATAGATGCTCCAGATTTCGACCCTTTGCTGCAAAGCATAAATACAAGAAAACAAGTTATTAACTTATAAAGGATGTACACTCAAGTAATTAGGCAAAGAGTTCAACAAGACTTTAAAACATTTGAGCAAAAAATGTACAAAAGAAAGGGCAAAATAGACAACATAAGGGAAAACATAATAAAATAAAATCGATAATATGTAATAGCTAAACAACACTAAACAGCAGTAAGGAAAAGTAGCAGAAGTGAGGAAGAAGCTATGGGGAAAGCTGAAACCCTAAATAATTTTTCTGTCGGATGGTAAGATAGCTGACACAAGTTTTCAACAGATCCAAAACAACAGCGAAGGGAAATGTAAGCACCAATGAAATACAAAAGCAAACTCATAATCACCCAACAATGAAGATCTTCAACATCAAGAAATAGGGTTAAAAACTCACCCCTTACACTTCACGCAAAGCACATTACGAGAAAGTGATAGCTTCTTAGTTGTCCCAAGGTATAAATCCTCAAGAGACACCTTTAACGGGTGTACAACATCCTCTCCCCTCCTTTGCCTTCTTCCCCTACTGCTACCACCACCTACTCATCAGTACACAACATATGAGTTTAGTTTCATGTTTAATGTATGATCTATAAACACAGAAGAATAGCACATAGTGACTTACCACCAAATGGGCTGCCGCCAAAGAAAGATGAGAATATGTCGAAGGGGTCATGCATGCCACCACCCCCGCCTATTCCCTCCTTCAGTGCATCCTCACCATACTGGTCATAAATTTCTCGCTTTTCGGGATCACTCAAGACCTCATAAGCATGAGCAAGTTCCTTGAACTGCAACCCAAAACAAGGTATATAGTTACTAATAGAATTATAAAAAATAAGACTTCATACACCAAGTTGCATGGTAATCATCTCACAACATATATGTTTAAGCTTCCAATATTACGATACTAAAAATACAGTTAATCAACGCTTCTTCAAGCAGGAGACAAGAAGGCAAAACCATGAAAACATTCAAATTAACTTAAAAGTAACTTAAGAACTTTTTGATGTATTCTGTACCTCCTAATTTGCAGGACTACATCAAGATCATTTGATAACAATAAGCAACGGATTTCAGATACCAAATCAACCATAGTTTTCAGTATCACTAAGAAATAAGTTCGTGAACAAGTGGTCCTTAAGGATCATAAAATAAAATAATATAAATATCCTTTCAATTTGATTAAGAATATCACTTAACTACGATGATGCCTAATCCTTAAATAGCAAGAGCAATTAAATAAAAAAACTTAAGGATCCAACAGCCTGATTGGATTAAAACATTAATCTGCTCTCTTTTATCATCACCAGACTGGTGGCCTAATCCAACACCTCAAAGCTAATACTCCTATTTTCCGTACACATAATTCCAAGCTTCAAGAGTTAACTACTCTAAATCGTAATTGATATATACCATAACAAGCATCTAACTCGTGCTCCAGTTCACATATTAAGAGTTAGATCAGCAGCATCTAATTATCTAAAGGCAACTAAAGAATCACAAGGCTAACCGAACTCAACAATCCAACAGACTGCTTCATCAATCAAAACTCTCACAATTCAACCAAATACAGAAAACCAATGGTAAAACAACTATCGATCTATACCTTCTCGGGGTCGCCTCCCTTGTCCGGATGATTCTTGATGGCTGCTTTCTTGTAGGCCTTCTTCAAATCGTCCGGCGACGCCGTCTTAGGGACCCCGAGGATCTCATAGTACTTGGTGTTGTCGCTTTTCTTCGGTGCCCTCCCAAACATCTCCGATCACTTCGAATGAGAATCCGCTTGATTCGAATCAAACTGATCCGCTCCGAGTACGATCGGCACGCGTCGGCAGATTAACGAGATGCGGCAAGGAAACCTACAGAGAGAAGGCTATTCGAAAGTGGAGAAAGGAGGTGAGAGAGAGGATTTATTTATGTGCATCTGAGGAGATATCAACGGTTGAGATTTGAGTTGTGGTAAGATCGTGGCCGTAGAATGGGCATGGCGTTCTTATGGTGATTTTGGAGAAGTGGAAAGATCTAGAATGCTTCCTTTATATGCCTTTTTTTTTATTTAATTAATTTTCAATCTAGATTTTTCTACGAACCCGGAACTCCTGTATCAGTAAAAACTAAAAATTGGTCAAAATACCGTGTTACATGTTATTTAAAGGGTTGCTTCAATAAATATAAATATAATATATCTACTTATTTTTTCAAATTAAAATAATTTGGTTCCTATGTGTGGTTTTGTTTGTCGATTTGTTTTTCATTTTCAAATATTAAATGTTCTTATGCTTAAATTATTTTTTTATATTTTTTTTTTCCAAACGGCAATTATATTAATAACTTAAAAACTCAACATAGTACAACTGAAGTGTCAAATAACACACTGGAACCAGAAGACTGGACCAACCCCCTTGTCATCACACCCAAGGAGTACAAACTCCATCAAGGATACAAACAACTACAAAACAACACTCCAAAAAGCAGACGAAGCTGCACTAACAAACCAACAAAACATAAAGGAAACAAAAACATAACTGAAAGAAAAACAACATACACCTAAAAACATACACTAATAATAAAACCTCCCCCTAATCCAAGCAGTTGACCTCCATAACCAACCAAACTGGCAACCGAGTCCCAAATCGCAACGACGAAACCAACATAGCTACAGATCAAAACCCCAAACCCGAAAACTGCGGCTGAACACGACCCGCCTAGACAGATCTGGCTAGAAGTCTGTTCTTAGTCCAAATCTGAACTCTGTTGGACTTCATCACCGGGAAAGAGAGGGGGAGCCACCACGAAACAAACCAGTGTCTCGGAGACATGACCCACAGAGGCTCCGCCCAAGTAGTCCCACAGTCTCGCGATCCGGCAGCCCCGCAAGCCGGCAACTGGGCGGATCGACGGGCCACCCGAGACTGAAGACTGACAGGCATAACCCTCCATAGATCGGAACTGAGACGCAGGAGACCATATCCACCGGCTTGTCAGCGAACACCCACGGCAAGATTCGAGAACCACAACGGACGGCGACCCCCTCCGAAGTCAAGGAGATTGACGGAGCGTCAAGACTCGCCGCTCGCCAAAACACCCGTCAGACTCGAAGGGGGCAGAAAAGAGAATCCTGACCGTGACACGGCCAAGGCCTGCCTGCTGGTTGTGGAGGATCGCCGGAAGGAAAAGGAGGAGGCGGCGGCGTCAATTAGGTTTTAACTTTTAGGGAGAAAGGGGCTTTTGAGAGAGAGAGAATTACGACCCCTATTGGTGATACGTTTAGTGCCCCCTTCAATGAGTATGTGAGAATTAATTCTAGCCATTAGATAGGTCTCAAGATGTTTGGCTAAGGTTTAATTTTTTTTTTTTAGTTATTTAAATAATAATTTAACCATTTGATCATTGACCGTTGACCGTTGACTTCTGGTGAGATCCGTTGACTTTCGGTGTTGACCTGTTGACATTAGTATGCATTGTTTGTGAAGTAATATAAATTCAGCACTATGCACTTAATATGAACTAAGTATGTATTTGGTATAAATTGCATGCGCAATCCTTATGATCTAATATGCACCAATAATATCAATTAAATATGCATTTCGTATAAACTAAATATACATAATAAATGAACTAATGCATCATGTATATATTTAATTTAAATATAAAAATATGTTCAATGGATAAACTAAATATGCACCTTGTATGAACTAAATATGCATCATGAATGAATTAAATATGCATAAAGATTTAACCAAATATGCACTATGAATGAACTAAATATGTATTTCGTATAAATTAAACTAGTACGTACCTCGTGCGATCCACGAGACAGAGATATTAAATGAGTTATTTTTACATGCTCTGTGTTTAAGACTAAAAAAGAATAGAGTTATCATCTATTTTCCACCTCTTTTAATTAGCGTTAAGTCTAAAAACCAATATAGTTATAATATATTTTCCACCTCTTTTAATCAGCGTTGTTTTTTTAGCCAAAACATTAAATATGAACATTTTAGGGCTAGCTTGTAAAATAATTAATATATTATCTCACTAACACATTTGTACTTATATAAATTTGATTTTAGTATATATATTTATTCCTTAATATAAGAAAAAATGACAGTTTTACTTATTTTGATTCACCGTTGGTAACGCAAAACACTCCGACCGCCTTGAAATCGACTTGTCTTCCTCCTCTTCGCCGGTAGAACGCCGCGCACCTGCACAGAACTCTCACACCGAACGGGTTTTCCGGTGAAGAGCCTCCGATGCTTAAGTCAGTGTATACTTTACTCAATTCTCCAAAGTATGTAATGGATAAATCGTAAGTCACAAGAAAAGACTCACTCCTATATATATATAAGAGTGAGATACCTGCCCTAGGAGCTGCCCGGATCTTGTGAGCTGTCCTGCCCGTACTGCCCGTCCGTACACACACAGTATGCGTGCGTCAGAGGTGTCAGAGGTGGTTATCACCACTATTGCTCTGCACCAATGTACTCTCGCCACGTGTCCCTCTGAGCAGAGGGAGATTATTCTCTGTGCATTTGTTAGGATTTTCTAACGCAGCCCACGCGCTTTCTCGCGTTCAAGCCACGCTCTCGACTGCTCTTCACCTGTTGAGTGCTCGATCTGACCGAGTCCCCCGTCACTAGGTCGATCTTCGACCAGTTCTGCTATTCTGCTCGATCTTTTCCCTTTTGGTCGATTATCCCTCGACCAATACAGTTTTCTCTACCTCGAGCTCGCCCGAGCAATGTGGTAAATCGGTCTATTCTTTAGCTATATAATATCCCATATCAACCGTATAATGCTTAATTATTATTTTTATTATAAACTTTGTTGTCATATAATATCATTATTATTTACAAAAATTATAGAAGTTGTACGTCTTCTTTTTATTTTTATTTTATGTAATGAAAAATATTTAATGCACGTTAGTATTATTTATTTATAAAATCAATTTAAATATGTAAATAAATTTAAAAATGAAATAGTGTATAAATATTTTACAAAATATACACACATGTTTTTTTATAATTAAATCTTGTATACTAATTAAATAACTTTGATTTAGCAAATGCTAAAAGCTATATCACTTCTATAACCAAGATTTTTCCGATTTGCATTATAAGCATTTATAGTTTGTTTAGCATACTCTGCAATGAAAATATATTTTACAAGAATTTCATTAAATTAGTAGATGCGCCTTCCTCAGTCAAGTGTCGGGAGTCGCGTCGGTGGCCGGCTCCAGCCGAAGTGGCCTTTCCTTTGGTCTTACGTCGATGTCGTCGTTGCGGGGCAAGAGGAGGAGAGCTGCCAGGTGGCTTCGCCGGGTTCTGGCACCGTCTGAGGTGGAGTCTTCGACCTCTGTGTGCCGAGGTGGTGTTGGGTGCCGACTAGGGGAGGCTGCGGCTCCGGCCATCTGTCGGTTGTCGGGTGATTAGGGCGGAGCTTCGACAGTTTTTATCCCTCCTGGCCTACTTTCACTTGGTGCTGGGGTTAAGAGGCCGACAGCGTCTCTGATCTCTGACAGTGGTGTTGGCCGGGGTTGGAGAGGCAGCATTAGGGGGATGGGGGTATGGTCGGAGTTCATCAAGCTGCGTGTTGCGGTTATCCGCTTGGGCTTGGAGTTGTGTTTTGGGGGACGGTCCAGTTAGGCCTTAGGCATTTTCTGGATCGTCTGCTCAGAGCGTGATCCGACCCGGTTAAGTGGTCGGCTGTATGGTCGTCGACAGGCTTCTTGGTGCTTTCTGGTTGAGGGAGGGCTCGTTTTTTAGTTTGTCTTGTTTTGGTGTGGTTTTCAATTTTAGTTGGTAGTTTAGAAGTCGTGCTTTTTGTTAGGGTCGTTGACCTCTATGTACCCGAGTGTCAGCGGGTATTATCCTTTTGGGATCTGTTACTCTCCATTTTTGGAGCTTTGTAGTACTTTCAGTTTAGTCTGGTAGTGTGTTGTTGGTCTAGCGTTGCCAGTTCGGTCTCTAGGCTCTGATCTGCCTCTCAGTTTTTAGCTCTCAGTTGTATCATTCAGCTTTGAGTTGCTTTCTGTTTGTACATTTGTGCGCTTATAAAATCTCTATCGTTAAAAAAAAAAANAGAACTCAAATTTAAAAAAAAAAAATCAGTTTAAAAACGCAAAAAAGAAACATATAAAATATTTAAAAAAATCATTTTGAGTAATAAGCAATAAATTAGGATGAAAATTATAGTTACTATATTAAGTAAATGCCAAACCTTTTTATATATATTAGTATTAGTATTAGTATTAGTATGTTGCCAGTGCGATGCACGGGAAAGAATATTATGATTGTATTATAAATTAGATATACACATAACATTATTTATGATTCTTATATTTTTTTTTAGAAAAAGACTAGACCGGATGGACCAGGAAACAGTTTATCGACGAATCCGGTTTACTTGAATAATCTGTTTGCTAGTGAACCGGACAACACCAGTCGGTCGAACTATCGGTACAATTTTTTAAATAATTTTTGTTTCATTTAAAGTTATTTTTAATATTCATAAAAATATATATAGAAATTTATAAATCATTTATCAATTAGTTTAAACAATCGAAAAATTCAAATTATTCAGGAATTTAATTGATATTTTTATATAAATTTATTACAGAAAGTACTATATATATTAAAATATTAATAAATTAAATTCCGGTGCAACCAATAAATCATTGAATATATAACTTAATCGGTTTGAAGACGATCATCTTCCGATTGAGAACCTTGGATTTACTGTACATTAATAAAGTTATGATACAATATCATTTTATTCACATAAATATTAGTTAAATAATATATAAATGTTGATAATTATTGAACATGTTGTCATCAAAAGATACTTAATATGATTACTTAGAGTATGAACTACATTACATTTATTGTAATCAAGCATTTTTAATACCAGAAGTTATATTTAGTTTAAATAATCGATTTGGTTTTGCCAAACTGACCATAACATGGTCACTCGGGACCAACCTCAGTCGTGTCATGTTTTGGACTAATTTAAATATCAACTAAATGTAATTCAATAAACATAGGCAGTAACTTAATTCAG